TGCCCAAACGGGAGCAGCACAGTATTTCCGCAAAAGCACTGACAATCTTACATGAGATCGTCAGTGCTTTTGCGGAAATTCAAGCAGCCAGTGTAGACAGCTGGCAAGTTTTTCCGCAAAAGCAGATGATTTTGCGGAAAAATTTGCCAGTCTAGACACAGCCCCAGCGATGGCAGAGGAACGGTCAGCGGCAGCCAGCAAGTGAGTCGTGGGTCAGTTTTCATTCTCTGGCCTGGGGAGAGCGGATTCCTGTGCTAAGCACCCTTCTTGTATGAGACACAGAAGATGCAATAAAGCCTCTTTCCGCAGTGAGAACTGGAAAAACAGAATCCCCCTCCCAGAGTTCTGGACTGCTAGGTCATGTGTAGAGTGAGCATACATCATGTTAAGGCCAGGACTGTCCCATATTTAAGCTCTGTCCCAGACATCCTGACTCCACCCGCCCCCAGAAAAATCAGACAGCAAGAAGAAATGGACATATGCTCAGTTTTGCCATAAAAAGCGGGGATACACCTAGTGGGGCATGGAAGAACAGGTGGGAGATTGGGGGCGAGTGGCAATATCAGCCCCACCCTAGAGGGAGGGCTGAGGACAGTGGCTGAGGCTGGCTGGCCCCACAGCCGTCTCTCTCTGTAATGGGGTGGTACAATTAAGAAGGGCTAGAGAGTCTGTAGAATGGGAATTCATTTACAGATTTGACACAGTCTCCCTGGGCTTGCACAAAGACATTCACTGGTTGGCGCATTACAAAGACAATTTCCCCTGCCTTTACATCCGCATTTTCACATCAAAAGCTATGCACAGGACACAGCCAGCCCAGCCCACTTAATTAGCCTCATTAACACGGGTCCTACCATTGACAGGTAACTGCTTTGGCTGTTCTATATACTTTGGATTGGGTCATTTCCTCTCCAACCTTTCTGATAAAGTGGGAAGAGCTTGTACTGAAAAACAACCACTCCTGTCTGCTTCTTTCTGCCCCCTCGGGGCCCAGCTGCTGGGCAGGAGCAGCAGGCGCCTTTCCCATGTTTTACGAGGTGGATTGGCAGGGAAGGGAGTGTACGAACACCTGGAAGGGTTCATGGCCTGTCCAGCAGCACAGCGTGTCTGTGCTTTCCAGCAGTGAGTGGCAGGGGGGGCTGGGCACACCCATGTGGGTCTCTCACTGCACAGTGAAACGCGGCACCAGCTGAGTGGCTCTAACCATGCCGGGGCTTGGAGAATTAATCCCTTCTCCAGAGCAAATGGCCAAGGGAAGCATCCCCCGACTGGAAGTCAAAAGAGTCTCAGACCAGAGCCCTGCCACGGAGTGTCCAAACCGCAGCACAGACCTGCAGGGCTCTCACAGGTGTTACTGGTGCAGCCTCACCGCACAGGTGTGACAGAGGGAAATCTCACAGCCCCCTGGCCATCACCAGGGGAACACAAGGCCAGTGCGAGAGGGAAATCTCACGGCCCCCCGGCCATCACCAGGGGAACACAAGGCCAGTGCGACAGAGGGAAATCTCACGTTCCCCCGGCCATCGCCAGGGGACACAAGGCCAGTGCGGGTGCCCCAAGGTCAAACCGCAAGTTGGCAGAAGAGCCGGGACAGATCCCAGGAATACTCAGTCAGTCGCACACGCTGAACCCCCAGGTAAGCCCACAGAAAGATGGGGGAGGGATGACGGGAATCACCGGTTGGGTAAAGGAACCAGGTCGGTGCTAGTCCGGGCGTTGGGGCGGAGGGTGCTCACCTCCCTCCCCCACCTCCCTCGGGACTTGCAGCCCTTTGTATGAAACCAGGTGGTTTTGAGAGACTTTAAAGATCAAAGACAAATGACGGTGCCTACCTTGTGCTCCTGGACAGCCTCCTCCACAGGAACCACCGTGTGGGCGCGGTGAGCCCGGGATCTCTCACACGCCATGCACACGGGGGTCTCATCCTCTTTGCAGTAGAATCTCAAAGGCTCTCGGTGCATCTTGCACACGTATCCTCCTCTCGGATCCTCCACTGCTTGTGACTTTACTAACTCCACAATGTTCTTCAGCTCCCGATTGGGCCGTAAGTTTCCCTTTCGAAGTTTCTCATTGCACAGAGGACAGGCGATGTCTCTGTCTCCCTGGCAGTGCTGGGCGATACATTCCCGGCAGAAGCTGTGTCCACACTCACTCGTCACAGGGTCCAGGAATAACTCCTGACAGATGGGACAGGTGACTTCGGCTTTAATGTTCTGCAAAGGCTCCGCAGCCGCCATGGTGCTTTCTTGGAGAGACAAACAATTTCCCGACCACCGTCACTTCCCTCCTAACATGTCCGTCTGGTGGCAGGAAGGTGCCTCGCCCCTCAGATATCCTGTTAGGCCAAAGGGTCTTCCTGCAATTGAACAGCTCCAGGAAGCCAGAGACGGAACAAATTCCTTTGGCCTCTCAGGAGCATAGAAAAGCTTCTCTCTGCACCACCGACTGCTCCTCCCTGCAGGCAATAAAGGAGCCGCTCCGTGGTCCCCTCTGTGCGAGGAAAGTGACCCATTTCTCACCCCAGTGCCAGCAAAACACCCATCTCACCCCCACTGGCGCTGACAGGGCCCTGGCTGCCCCCGTCCGGGAGGTAAAAGCCATTTGGAGCCGCGCCCCAGAGAGCCTGC